CCCCCCGACCCCGCGATTTCTCGCCCAAAATCGACCCATACCCCCCGCCTGGCCGCCACCTCGCCCCCACCTGGCACCGCCACCCCCATGCCTCTGGGCTTTGTTCATGAGACCCCCGACCCCACGATTTCTCGCTCAAAATCAACCCATGCCCCCCCGCCCACCCAGGCACCCACCTGGCTGCCACCTCGCCCCCACCTGGCCACGCCACCCCCAGGCCTCTGGGCTCTGTTCTTGGGAACCCCGACCTCGCGATTTCTCTTCCAAAATCGACCCACGCCCCCCCACCTGGCCGCCACCTCGCCCCCACCTGCCCGGCCCCCCAGGCCAGGATTTGTCGCCCAAACATGACCCACATCCTCACCACTATGGGGCCTCTCCTTTTGGAACTCCACATGATCAGCATACTACTATTTTGCATCATTGCCAGCATGCCTCTCCTAGTCCCCCCGCAACATGCTTCGCGACTGGCACGCGTTTCCGTCGTCCCTCTTGTCGGCTGTGGCAACAGCTATCCAGTCTCACGCACTTTCGTCACCGACGCGCGGCTCCGCTCAGCGACTTCCTTCCTTTTGCGCTCTTGGCCAGCACAGCGCTCGCATCGACGCTGTCGGCGCGCTCTTCAACATGTACTCTGAAAACTCGGTTCTCCTTTCGGGGATTCCGCATTTGGAACACACGCGCTCTTTTGCCTCTTCGGCACGGGCCTTCTCCTCCTCTCTCTGCAATCTCTTACAAGCCTTGCATGTGGGTTCCTCGTTGATAATAGTTTCCGCTTTCGCAAATTGATCTAGTAACTTCTGCTCGCCGCAGCGCGAACACTGCAAGTGCTTCTTCAGCTCCTCGCACTCAAGGCACATTCCCCCTTTGCACCGGGCGTTCCCTGCCTTCTCCCATTGGAAGTCTACGAACGCATCCTCGTACTTCCGCCCCTCGCATACGTAACACTTTCGCCTCTCAGGGCAGTCCACGCAACGCCGCGACGTGAGCTTCGAGCTGTGGCGCTGGGATGCATGGAAAGCATCCTGGCCCTTCCACAGAAAGCATTCCGTGCACTGCCACGGCGTGCCAATGCTCTTCTTGCCTTCCAAGCACACCTTGCACGCGCGGCGACCGTCGTCCCGGCTCCACTGCCCGAGCGCGTACTGGTTCTTGTACTTCACCGACGAGCACAGTGCGCACGTCCCTGCAGACATGAACTCCTTCTCGATTGCCTCCCAATCCATCGGGTCTCCCCGCAACACCTGTAACAGTAATCCGGGCCCCTTCCGCTCCTTCTGAGTTTACGGCGCACGGTCGAAAGGCCGAAATATCAACATGTCTTCGCGGCGACGCACGCGCGTCAGAGCCACATAACTCGACAACGGCGACGTGCCCCCGCCTTTCCTGAGGTCCACGATGACACCCTGCTTAAAAGTCTGGCCCTGTGCTGAATGGGCGGTGACTCCAAACGCTGGGGCCAAGGGGAACTGCCGCCGCTTCACTTTCAGACGCGGGCACGGCCTGCCCTTGTCGACGAACCCATATTTTTTCTGCGGGGTCACTGGGTGCAGGCCCAGCGTCTTCAGCCCCTGCATCGTCCACTTGCACGGAATCACGTTCCCTGCGTCATCGCGACCCTCATCGAAGAGGACAAATATCACTTTCGGCGTCTTCTGCAATATGGTCTGTCCCCCCCGGGAGACGCGACCTGCTCCTTCGTCGCCATCACACACCCATGAGTGCACGGTCCCCACGCGTCCGCGGAGTAGGTACTTGTCGTCGCTGCGGTCGATATGATCTGTGAGGGCCACAGGCATTCCCTCCGCGACTGGCAAAAAAACATACAGGTCTCCGCTCTCCTTGTCGTGACGCTTACTCCTGCGACTCCCATCCACTAGCCCATCTGCTTGTTTCGGACGGCAAAGCACCAGAAGGTTCACAACCCTGCGGGAGCGCCGCGACACTCGCGGCAACAGCGGGACAGTGATCGCGCGAGGACTGAAATTGACAGTCTCTGACTTCCCCAAAACCTGGGGGGGGGGGGGGGGAAAACGAAACCCGGGATGTCCCAACAATACACCTGCAGAGCCTTCTTTGGGGTCGGCGGCAGAGGCGGCAGCCTTTAGATTTAGCTTAGCTTTAGCTTAAGTTCAGTTTAGCTTTACCGTTACTACGAATGCTGCTTTCCTAAGGGCTCCAACTCCTAGGTAGGGTCGCACTGGGATAATATGTGTTATGATATCTCTTTTACGTGTCGTCTCTTATCTCTCCAGTCCTACCTACAGTATGCTGTCTACAAGGGGAGGCAGTCAACAAAAAACCACCCAACAGGCCTTCAGGACGAACGCAGGAGGCCCCGAAGACAGCCTCAAGAGCCCAGGAAAACCGAGAATGGCCCCACGATTCACGATTAGCCCCCAAATAAAATGTCTCAAGATTACCTGAAAACGGGCCTGAGAGCTCCCGGTATTGCCCAAGACCGCCCCAAGGTGGCCCCGAAATGCCCCAACGAGGCCCCAAGATGCACCAATGATTGGCTCAGAGGCCCCCAGATAGCCCGAAGATTCCTCAAGAATGGCTCGAAGGTAATTAGCCCCTGAGGCGTCAGTATGCCACCGAAAGGGCACCCAGATGGCCTAAGACGGCCCCACAACTTACCCAAGTATGGTTCAGCTTGGGGGGCTGGCGGCAGAGGGCGCAGCCCTTGAGATGCACGTCCAGACAGCGAAGCACGTCCGAGAAACGAATTTCCTCGTGGTTCCAATACTTCTCCATAGAGTGTGTGCACTGAGGACATCTTGCTCATTCTACCAGCAGTCCTTGCACTTTGACGCCCCACTTCTGCCTCTGAACGCAACCAAATGGGCAACGCTGCCACCCGTGACCCCGTGCGCTGGGCAGGTCCCCCCAGGATTTACCACGCTGTCGCCCGCGCAGCCTCGTGGGCGCCTCGTGGACGCCGAGTGCGCTGGGTGGCCTCGCCGAGAGTTCGCCACGTTGCCGCCCGTGCCGCCTCGTGGGCGCCCGTGGGTGAGCTTACATCACATAGCATCTACCACCTGACTTACACCATATAGCTTGCACCGCAAAGCTTACACCGCACGTTGTGCACCAGGTGGCATGCACTACGTAGCTTACATAATGTAGCTTACGCCACACAGACTGCACCATGTAGCGCACACCTTATAGATTGCACCCCTAGTTCACGCCGCACAGTTTACACGACACAGCTTACACACATAGCTTACATTCACAAACATTGGTGACCCACATTGCCGCACGCGCGGCCTTGTAGGCGCTTCATGAGCGTCCCGTGCGCAGGGTGGGTGTTCCAACGACTCGCCCACGTCGCCGCACGTGCCACCTCGTGGGTGGCCCGTGCGCTGGGTGGGTGTCCAGAAGATTCGCCACGTCGCCGCCCGTGCCGCCTCGTGGGCGCTCGTGAGCGCCCCGTGCGCTGGGCGGGCTCCCCGAGGATCCACCGCGCTGCCGCCCGTGCCGCCTCGTGGGTACCTCGCGGACGCCCCGTGCGCTGGGTGTCTCCCGAGGGGTTCGTCACGCTGTCGCCCGTGCCGCTTAGCGCACACGACATAGCTTACACCACATCGCTTGCACCGCATAGCCGTCACCTGCATAACTCACGCCACGTAGGTTACAAGGCATAGCTTGCACCCCATAACTTTACACTGCATAGCTTCCGCCGCCAGTGCAAGTAAGCTTAGACAAACATGGTAGACTAACACATTAACTTAGTAATGCTGAGTTGAGAACACGCTGGCTAACTTTTTGGTCGAGTAAAACGATCGCCAGCGTGGATGCCACACAGTGTCCCGTTGCACTGCGGAGGTGAAGCCTATGCGGTGTAAGGGATGTGGTGGTAGCTATGCCGTGTGAGCCATGTGGTGTTAGAGGAGAAGATGAAACATGTGCGGTGTAAGCTATGCCGTGCTGTGTGCTGTGGGTGCTACGACAGTGGACACCCTAACAGTCCTACCATTGAACTTAACATGTGTTCAAAACGTAGGAAATGTTCTCAACATGATTTGAGCATGTTTATACATTCTTACAACATGTGTAAGACATGTTTAGACACCTGGAAACCATTTGGCAACATGCTTCCTCACCATTGATCGCCCTCCACTAAAATATGGTGTGCAAGCTATGTGGTGTGAGCTACGTGGCGTGAGCTGTGTGGTGGGGGCTACGCCGTGCAAGCGCATGGCACGGGGCGCCCGCGCGGCGTCCACGGGGCGGCACGGGCGGCAGCGTGGCGCCACCTCGGCAGACCCCCCCCAGCGAGGGGGGCGCCCGCGAGGCGCCCACGAGGCGGCCACGCTGAGCGCAGACCTCGGCAGACCCTCCCGGCCAACGGGGCGCCCTCGAGGCGCCACGGGCGGCAGCGTGGCGCAACCCCGGCAGGCCCCGCAAGCACGGGGCGGCCACGGGACGCCCGCGAGGCGGCACGGGCCGCAGCGTGGCGGAAGCCGGGACTGGTCAACGACCTGCCCTGACGAAGAGAGGTAGCAGCCCGTAAGTGCAAGCGCTGCTTGGGGAGTCTTCAATCACTCGAGCACACCCCCGTTTATCCCGCAAGAGAGGTCTGCAGAGCCACATTCGGGATCAAGACCCCGAGCAGGGCTCCCAATAGAGCTTCCCAGGAAGCCCGCAAGAGGCGCCGAGGGTGGCCCAACGATGCCCCTGACGCGCACCCCAGAGGCCCTCAAAAGGCCTCCGACGGGGCTGGCTGAGTGTGCGACACGTCAAGAGCTTCAACGCTGCGCGCAACTCCGCCAAACCTAACAAGGAGCCCCCGGTGCTGTGCCGCCAAAGGTCTCAATAAACGGGGAGGGGGCGGGAACATCCGAGGGGCAGGATGGTGCGGGAGGGGAAGTGGCCTCCTCCTTCGTCTTCTTCTCCTCCTCCTCCTCCTCCTCCTCCTCCTCCTCCTCCTCCTACCTCCATCCCCGAGGGGGGAGGCGAGGCAACGGGGTCGAAGGTTCATCGCCGCGGCGTGGAACCTCCTCGGCCACCATCGTCACGTCCTCGAACGCCAGGTACTGCAGCTCCTCCATCGACGGCGTGGTCCCCTTGCCCTGGTGTGCCTGGCTGCCGCGTGGCCCTCCCCCCAGGGGGGGGCGAGTGCCCTCCCCTCCCTGGCCCCCTCCGTGATCCTCCCCCTCCGCCCTCGCAAGCCTCTGCCTCGTCAGTGGCCCCATGCTTACACTGCACTGACATCATAAGCTGCACAGCTGCTGCGCCCTGGCGGCATGCGGAGCATCCGACGTGGGGCGAGGTGACAAGACTGAGCAAACTGTCGCAGGCGCGCAGCAGTGAGACGACCGACAACGAGACCGCGAAAAGAAAAGAAGCCCAGCAGGGCGTAAGGCATGCGTGCTGAAGGTCCTGGGTGAGGTGAGGAACGAAGATCATTGGCCTCCTCCTCCGACTCCTCCTCGTCCTCTGGAACCCGCTCCTCCCACGTTTCCGTACCAACGGGCGCGGACACACCTCGCGCCGTGGCCCTTCACCAACTCTACCTCTCCCTCCCAGGCCCCTTGAGAATTCTTCAGGGGTGTCGAGGGCATTGGATCCTCGATCCTGCGAAGCGCATCGAGCCTATCTCGCATGCCGCGTCCATGCATTGCAATCCCTCTTCGACGCCAGGCGACCAGCGGGGGATCCTGCCACTTTGCATCCGCGCATGGACCAAATAAGCGAATTACATCCTATATATATATATATATATATATATACGCAGCCCGGGAATATCTATTCTGATCGAATCGGGTCGTCATCATCTGAATCGGTGACCACGGCACGACATGGTTGCCGCCCACAACGCCCTGCTCGCCGCCCGGTCGCTCCAAACAACGCAAGGACCGGCGCTGTTGGTACTGCTGCAGATCGACGGATCCTTGGGCACTCCGCTGTCCACTGCCAATGCCTTCCAAACATGGGAGAATATGAACGTACAATCTCCACAAAACCGATCCAGACTTCTGACAGCTAGCTCGCACGTGCAGAACATGCACTCTGACTGAGAGCCACATGCCAAGAGTTCGACACGATTGCAATCCTTGACGCCATCGGACTGCAGAACAAGCTCGAGAGCCCTCGGGTCGCTTCGCGAGAGGCAGGGTGAATGCACTCCAGTTGCCACGGAAAGCCACGCGGCCTCTCTGGCGGGTTCGTGTCGTGCCGACCCTGGCGGTGGCTTCTGACACCGCGGAGATCGTTCCACCTTGAACGATCGGCCGCTTCCGGAGCGTCTGATGGCTCAGCATCGGCCGATTCTGGGTCGCTGGCGGCGTTCAAAAATGAACGCCGACGGCAGGGTCGCCGCCAATCGACACGGCGCAACCCTACCGCACATTTAGGTCGGGCATGTCCCCCTACAGGCGGATCTTGGACGCAAGCAAGTACTCAAAAATAGCAGCAACAACAACAACAACAAAAAAAGAGTCGTCCCCTGAGTATATTTTGACTATCTTCGAAGATTTCCCCTGTAGAATGACGCGCCCGACTCAACCGTACATGGACTGTGTGGCCTCCTCCTCCTCCTCCTCCTCCTCCTGCTCCTCCTCCTCCTCCTTCCTCCTCCTCCTCCTCCTCCTCCTCCTCCTCCTCTTCCTCCTCCTCCTCCTCCTCCTCCTCCTCCTGTGGCCGCGCCCGTCGGCCGCTGCCCTGCGGCGGACGGCCCCCGCAGGCCTGTGGCCCTCGCCCCGCGGCCCTCCCCGCGCGCGGGGCCCCGCCCCGGGCGGCGGCGAGCAGGGCCCGGAGGCCCGCGGATCGGCACCGACCACAGCACGGGTAGGGGGCCAGATGCGAACCCTACCCTACCCCCCCACGATTTCTGAGGGGGGGAGTGTTCACTTCGCTCGGGAGCTCCCGAACGAGGTGAACCCCACCCTCCCCCTCAGAAATCGGGGGGGGTAGGGGTAGGCTTCGCATCTGGCTCCCTAACAAATGTTCTGGGACGCGCACAGACATGCTGGTACTGTGTGTCCTCCCTCGAGGCGCACGTCCGACCGGAACACATGGTATACCTATCTTGTAGCATATCGTCGGGGTCGGAGTAGATGGGGTCGGTGGGGTCGGAGGATCGCGCCGCATCGCCGATGCATCGGCGATGCGTCGGCAATACATCGGCGATGCAACGGCCATGCACCGGCGACGTCAGCGACGCATCGGCGACGTCGGCGTGGAGAACAGTGGGCCCCACATTGAGCCGCATCGCAGATGCATCGCCGATGCATTGCGCACCCGACAGTGGCGAACCTCGGGGCCGCGCTGCATGTCGTGCCACGAGCTGCTCTTCGGGCCGTCCAGCGGCAGCCGAGGCTGGTGCGCCAGGTGGCCTGCCGCCCTGGCAGCGCCAGCGCGGGGCTCGTGGACGGGGCCCTCCCGCGCGGCTTGCCGTGACGGGCGCGCTGCCACGCCGTGCACGCGGGCGGCGAGCGCTGGCGTGGCGTGGCGTGGCGTGGCGCACGCGCTGCGCCGTCGGCGTAAGAGCCGCGTCGCGGGGCACGGCGCGTCGGCCCTCGGCCGCGCCCGCCGGGGCTCCTGCCGACGCCGACCACGGCGAGCGCGGGCGCGGCAGCAGGCGGGCGCGAGCCCTCGGCCAGGAGGCGGCCGTCGAGAGGGGCCGACGGCGAGCGAGCGGCACACGCGACGGCGCCGAGGCCCCACGACGCCGAGCCTGCCAGGCCGCGGCGCCCGAGTGGCGGCGGCGAGGCGGCCGCGGACGGCCCGCCTGTGCCGCCATCAGCGCCGAAGCGGACGAGCTGGACGCGCAGGGCATCCAGCGGTTGAGGTTCCAGGGCGCCGGAGCGAATCCAGCCGAGGCGAAGGCGCCGCAGGCCACGGCTGCCCTGCAGGGGGGGCGGGGAGCTCAGCGTCGCACTCCCGTCCCGCTAGCGGCGGCGCGAGGCCACAGGCTGTGCGTGGGCTGTGGCCTGCTTGACTGTCTGTGATGTGGCTGCTATGCCTCCTAGGGCAAGCGTGGCCGCCTCGTGATCTGCACCCCGCAGGAGAGCTTGGGCGACTCCAGGGCGGCGGCGGATCAATCGCTTCAGGACTGGGCGCTAATATCGACGACTGCAGGGACCTCCCCAGCTACGAGGCACCTCGTGGTGGGCGACGTGAGGGGCGGCTGCGGCCGGCGCTTCGAGCTCGCGGCGCTGGCGGCCGGGGGCCTGTGATGTGGCCGCCTGTCCGCCAGGTGCGATCGGGCGTGGCCCGCTCTTGAAGACCGCGCCGAGTGGTATCAGTAAGTATCCCAGTATGCCAGTATGCTGCCTGAGGGACAACGATCGACAAAGCTGGCTCAGGGGGGGGAGCATATCGGCGATGCATCGCCAATAGATCGGCGATAGACCCCGATGGCAAGCCCACAATGTCCTGTTCCTGGGCGGAGTGGGCTGTCTGGCCCCTATCGGCCATCGATGGACGATCGGGAGTCGATGCACTCCTCCTCCTCGGCCGATTCCCCTCCTAACGTTGCCCCCTAGTTTTCGGGTCTTAGCTCGGCTATTCTGCGGCCGTTCGTGACGATCCAAGCACGCCTGGAACGCCCTCGTCGAGGCGCAGCTGATGGAAACCAGCTCGGGCATCGAAAACTTCCGAGAACTGTGGAACAGCATCGAACACCTCCGAACACATTCGGAAACGTTCGCCCCTTCCTCACCCCATCCTCATCCGCCGCCTCCTCCTCCCCGTCCCTCCTCCTCCCCCTCCCTGGCCCCCTCGCCCTCCCCTCTGAATCAGTCTCGATCTTCTCTCGACCCCTGAGATTGAGAAGCGACAAAGCAATGAGACAATCCGAAGGATGCGTCCTCAAGAGCGGGCAGACTCCTTCGCCCACGACCGCGCGTACACGGGGCGTGTTGTTCGCGGAGGCCCCGCGCGGCACGCACTCGGCGGTGGACAAACCTCCCTTTAGTAAACCTCCCCTTAGTGAAAACGGCCTGGGACCGAACCGACGGACCTGGACCCGCAAAAATGACGGCCGCGACGCCCTCTCGCGAACCGAAAACGGCAAATTCCTCAATCGACGTGTCAGGGTAAGAGGTCTGTCCACCCCCGACAGCACCCAGACCGCGAGGGCGCGGATGCGGCTGAGCCTCGCCCCTCGAGAGCCTCGCCCGGCCCCCGCCCTCCCCGGGCGGGGGGCCTGCATCACCCGCGAGGCCATGGCGCGCGACAGGGCCTCGACGACGTTGCGGACGGTGCGGCCGTTGCCGTTCTCGCGCGAAGGGTGGCAGTCCGGGGCGGCGATGTCCTCGCAGCAGCCTCGGGTGGGGGGGGGCGGGATCGGCCGGCACCGCGTCGGGGAGGAGTGAACTCGCAATGTTTGTAGATCGCCCTCCATGTTTCGGCAATTATGATAACCCAAACACTCGCTGGGAGGACAGATGTGCCTCCCGATAACCAACCCTTCCGCTTTGGGCAACCCGACGTCTGCGCGCGCACACCAATACTGCGCACCCCGCTCGGACCTGCGCAACTGCCATGGTCAGGTTATCTGTTATGCTGCTGCCATGGTACTTTAAGGGTTACACCCCAAAAATAGTTCCGAGCACCCAGAAAAGGGTCGAAAGAGTGCCGAAACAGTGTCCGACGAGTGTCTCCCAGGGCCTGGCACTAGAGTTTATGGGCACTCTTCTGGGGCTCGAAATTCTTCCTGGCCTGGCCATCGCTCGGACGTCCATTTCGCGTGTTTTTCTCAGTTTCGTGAGTGGTTTTTTCGCGAAATGATCAAGGATGCTCCTCGATGGTCCTCACCGAAGGACAAATGCACACGTCCGAACGATGCCAAGTGGCGATCAAAGCTAAAGCAGGCTGGAGCATCACAAGTTATCTGGTGGGGAAGGGGGGGGGGCGGGCAGGCCTGCTCAGCCGGTGTCTTTCGCCAGACCCTGAAACACAGTCTCTCTCTCGACGGCGGGCCTGTTTTCCACCACCACCACCAGAAGTTGGAGGGGGAAAGGAGGTGGAGGACGAGGAGGAGGATCGGCGCGGCATAGAGCGGTCCAGTCGAGCCAGGACCGCCCCGAGCGCGACCTCGCGCCCCACGCGAGGCCGCAGTGGCGACGAGGCCCCCCCGCCGCGTGAGTGCGACCGCCCCTAGCACTCCGCAAGCGGGGTCCTAGACGGCCGCACTCACCCCAGGCCCTCGGGCCTGGCGGCACCCACAGGCACGGGAGCCACGGAGGCCACACGGGGCCCCCCGCCGCCAGGGTCCGAGGCGAGTCCAGCAGCCCCGCCTGGCTTGGCCCCCTGGGGGCCTCCAGTGCGGGGCGTACGCGCAGCAGCGCCGTCGCTCAGCCCCGCCGCGTCACAGCCGCGGCGGTAGGCGGCCAGGAGCGAGGCGACCACGGAGCTCCGCCGCGCTGCCTCCGCCGCCTCCGCAGAGCCCGCGGCCGCTCCCTCTCCCTCCTCGCCCCCGCCAGCAGGGCGGTGAGCCCGCGGCAGGGCCCCCTGGTGGCGCCGCACTGGCGGCTCTTCCACCCCTATTGGGCCGCTCTCTGCCGCCTCAGCAGAGTCCGCGCCCTCGTCCTCGCCCCCGCCCGCAGGGCGGTGAGCCCGCGGCGGAGGCCCCTGGTGGCGCCGCGCTGGCGGCCCTTCCACTCCTCTTGGGCCGCTGGCGCCCCTTCGGCCTTCCCCATCGGCCTCGCCCTCCCCAGGGGTCGTGGGGGTCGCCGCGGCCTCTGCAGCTGCTCCAGCGGCGCACCAGTCCTCACCTCCAGCGCCGTCGCCGCCTCTGACGCCCTCCGCCGCCTCAGAGCCCCAGTCCTCACCTCTCATAGGTGGCACGCTCTGGCCACCGTCCTCGCCACGAGCGACGGGGCTCCCACTGATGGGCTCGGCGGGAGGAGGGGCGGGGCCAGCGCCCACCTCCTCTGCTGCTGCCGTCGGCTCGCCACCGCCAAGGCGCCGCAGCGTGACGGCAACCTCGCTCGCGATCCTGGGCGCGAGCCCAGCACGCAGGCGCGCGATAGCCGCGCTGCCCGCGGCCGAGGGCGGCGTCTTGCACTCCAGCCCGAAGCTGCAGGCGCGAGCGGCCCCAGTGAACCCGCACCTGGTGCATGCGACCAACGGCAACCTCCGCTCCAGCTCGCTGTCCAGCACAGGAGCGATGGCGACCAGGTCGTGCGCCGCGAGCCCCTTCTGCACCAGCAGCTCGTTGGCCTTCACCGCGTCCTCCAGGATGCTGCCAGGGCACTCGCCAGCGCGGTTGGTCCACCTGCAGACCTCACACCATCTGTCCTTGCCCTTCCCGCGCCAGCTGCAGCTCAGCCACGCGGAGGCTTCACGGCGCCGCCGAACCGCCCTCTTCGGCCGCTCCTTGCGATGGGTGGTGTCGCTGCCATCCACCCATGTGCCGACCGCAGTGCACCACATGGCCACCAAGTCCACCTGCTGCCGAGCCAGGTGCAGCTTGCGGCGATCGGCGGCCGAGGCACGGCCCTGGGCAGCCGCCGCCTTCGCAGCTGCGTCGGCGTACGAGTTGCCCTTCCAGTCGCGGTAGCTGATGGCGCCGTCCACGACCTGCCTCCTGGTGCGGTGGGCAGGGACCCATCGGAGGTGCACTGCGCGACCAAGCCCTCCTCTGTCGTCCACCAGGGCCCACGCCAGCCGCCACAGGTGCGCCCAGGAGTACGCGTAGGCGGCAGTGTTCGTGCGACCCGCCTTGTAGAAGCCGTCGCACACGTACTTCGAGTCGACCACCAGCGTGACCACGCCCATGCTGAACCGCAGCGCCATGATCACCGCCATGAGCTCGCCCCCGTTGATGTCGACGTAGGCGCCGCACAACTGCCCAGCAACGGAGGCCAGGTAGCAATCGGCATCGGGCTGCAAGGCGACCACGCTCCAGCCGGCCGATGCGAACTCGTCGAAGTCGGCCTCGAACGCGGAGCCGTCGAGGAAGAACTCGCCACCAGGGAGGACCCCGCCGTCGTGGTCGCCGCGCCAGCACACCAGGTCACTGGCCCGTGGCTTGCGTAGCCCAGGCGGCGTCGGCCACAAGCACCGTTCCAACAGCAGGGTGACCTCGGGCAGGTGGCTCCGCTTCCTGAGGTCCGCGATCTCCTTCGGAAGCGTCAGCACCTCTCTCCAGCATTCGCAATCGCAGTGGCGATGCAGGAGCGTCCCTCTGCCCCCGCACCGCAGGCACTCAGCACACTCGGCAAGGCCCTTCTCCTCCTTGCGCGCCTGGGGCCACTGCCCATTGACCACCAGGGAGTGGAGGTACGCCCGCTCCTTGAGGGTGAGCCGCACCTTGGTGCCCGCGGCGATACCGTCCCTCCTGTCCGCCACGCTCGTGACACAGCCAGTGGAGGTGAGCCTGATGAGCGGCTCCAGCGTCCCGCCCTCCGCCAGGTGAGCGCACCCAGGCGCCAGGCTGGCTTGTCTCCACTGCCACTTCACGATGGCCCGCTGCACCAGCTTGATCACGATCCACGGGGAGATGTCAAACGGCGCAAGGAGGCCACCATCGTCCATCCTCCAGCAATTGGCCGTGACGACCTCCCAGTCAATCCTCCGCAGCGAGAGAAGCGTCGCCGCGCAAGGGCCCTGGACGTGGGCCCACGTGACCGTGCGCGCGTCCTGCAGGCATAAGACCACCATGTGGCGTGGCACCCAGCCCTCCCACACCGCGCGCAGTAGCATCTGCACGGGCTTGCACGTGGCGTCGACTATCGGGTCGAGCCCTGGCTGGAGCATCATCGTGAGGGTCCTTGACTTCTCCGCCGTGGTGTTCGACACCGCCACGAACGTCAGGGACCTGGCACGATCGAGCTCGGTCGTGGTGCAGCCTGTGATGGCCGTGCCGTACCCGATGCTGGGGTGCAGGGCGGTCTTCGCGAGCCTCCTCGTCGCGGGCTTCCTGCCTTTCGTCATCTTGACGATCTTCACCCTCCGAAGGCGCTGCTGGGCCTGCTGCATCCTTCCTGCTCGTACTTCACGTCCGAGCCGCTTGCCTCCACTGAAGTCGACGCCCAGGTTGCGCTCCTGCCTCGCCGCAGTGACGCCTGCCGTCCTCTGCAGCCTCCGCTCCAGCTCGTGCCTCGCCTCAGGGTAGTTGGAGAGGGCCCTGGACTTCTTGGTGGCGATGCGAAGGTCGGCCTTCCCCAGGAGCTCCTTGAGGCGCCGTGTCGCCGTCGCCACCTCATCCACCGTGCGCCGCAGGCCTCCGACACGCTTCAGGATGAGATCGTCCACCACCACCGACAGGGAGACGGTGGGCACCAGCGCTTGCAGCTTGTCGAGGGGCTCGATCAGCATCATCTTGAGCATGAGCGTGGCGAAGCCGTCGCCTGGCAGCACCGCCTGCTTGGTGGCGATGGGGTTGCTCAAGGCCTCTCCCAGCGCAAGCCACCTCGGAGATCTGTAGAGGCTGACCTGCAGCTTGAGCTGCCACAGCGGGAAGCCCGTTCGCACCGCCGCCTGGATGAGGCGCCCGTGCTGCACCTGCTCGTACGCCTTGAGCAGGTCGAGCAGCACCAGCGCTGACACCCAGCTAGAGGCGTCACCAGCCTCACGCCCCTTCGCCGAGGCCCACTCGCACTCTACCGCCTGCTGCCACACCGCCCTCTCGCAGCCCTTGCCTCTGGACGCCCAGAAGTAGGGGCGGTCGTTCCTGCGCTCCCAGGCGTCCGCCAGCGGCTTGCGCAGCCTCGCCTGGACCCTGGCCACCACGTGGATGATGGCCACAGGGCGAACGCCCCCGAGCCGCTTAGCCAAGAACACGATCTTGGTGTGCAGCTGCGGCCACTCCGCCATCTGCTCCACGGCCATCAGCAGGTCGATCAGAGCCTCTAGCCCCTCGCTGCTGAGCTCGAGGAGCTGCCTGGGCTTGATGGCCTCGAAGCCCGAGGCCGTGTCCTTCTTGAAGGAGCGGAGGCAGCGGCGCAGGTCCTCCACGGACGGCCGCGGAGGCCGTTCGCCCAGATCTGAGGGCCACTGCAGCTCGGCGTGGTCGCACTCGATCCTCCAGTGCTTGCCCCACTCGGCCTCGAGGAGTTCGATCTCCTTGCCGAGGCCTGCGGGGCCCGAGCTGCCACTGCAAGTGCTGCTCTGCCATCCTACTGGCACCCGAGTGACGGCGTGCAGCCCTGCTGCTCCTCCCTTGAGCTGCTTACCCACCCACTCGTCAAAGCGCTTGCCTCGCTCGGCAAGATCTCGTTGGGCTAGCTCGCTGGCATGCCGCTTGGCGAGGTCAGCCATGTGTGCCAGCGCGAACGGGTCCCACAGCGCCACCGCGCCGTACAGCAGGAAGCCGTGCC